AGCTGTCTCCCTCTTTCCTATATCTATCCTTTGTTGGTGGGAATGTAAACTGACACAATCACTGTTGAAATCAGTACAGCGATTCCTCAGTAAACTAAAATTCCAGTCCATATATCCAGCAATTCCTCTTCTAGGTATCTTCACAAAAGAGTTAAAGACATCATTTAACAGTGACCTATGCATATCCACATTTATAGCAGCTCAATTCAGAGTAGCTAAGTCTTAGAAGTGGCCTGTATGTCCATCAATGGATGAATAGATAAAAAAGTGTCCTTTATATGCAGTGGAATACTACTCTGCCATAAAAAATAAACTTGAGTCACATGTGGAAAAATGTTCTCACCCTACGACCATAATGCTAACTGAAAGAAATCAGACATACGCAAGCTTAAATATTATAATATTTCTCTTATTTGGAAAAATACTAACATTTAAATGAAAAAAGTGAATTATTACTAGACCGAAATATTTTTGGAAAGTCTTAGGGCTTTCTGAATACTTTGAAAAGTATCTTTTAAAGAAAACTATTCATTTTTTAATAATGCCAAGTTTTTCATACCTAACAGTCTATCTCATGTCTATAGTTCAATTTTTATCAGTACTGTCAACTCAAAAACTGGGCAAAGAAAGGTTAAGATTTTGAATTGCAGGAAGTTGAAACATGCCACAAAGATTGTGAGACTGCAGACTGATAATGACCTCATTGGGACTGTCCAAGGAGGAGAAGTCACTTTATGGGCAGGAACTCCTTATTGTCACATTTGACAAGGGCTCACTTCCTGCCTGAATTCATGTCTGTTTCACCGCCTCAGTCCAGGAGGGAAAGAGTGACGTGATGGCTGGGGAGTTGCTTTCTGTGTGGCCTGTCACTTGACTTGGCTCTGTTCAGTGGGAACGGAGGTCCCGACTGTTTCACATCAGAGCTGGGATCCTGTGGCTCTTCATACCTGGCAGAATAGTCACTTCATGACTGCACTATAAAGCACTTGACTTTGCTCTGCTCTGGGGCAATTCGTGACTCTCATGCTCATAGGAAAGTTTCTCTGGCTTTCACCTTAAAAAGCCATAAAATGGAATATTAGCTTTACCCACAGAGTTAGTTCAGGCATCTGTTTTAAGAATAAGAAAACATATTAAGAAATACAAATGCACTACCTGTGTGTACGTTTGTGACTTTCTTCTTCATAAAATATTGATCTTTAAAGATATGCTAAGATTCTGAATGAATTTACACTCCTTTCTTTCTTTGAAAAATACTATTTTCCTATATAATGATGAGTGAGTACTCAATTTCCCATTCAAACATTCATTTGTGCTGTTTGCATGCAAGGCATATTTCATGAATACTTGTCATAGGCCAGGCACCGAAGATACAGACACAAAGTACTCTCGCAGAAAGAGGAAAAGGCATATTTGTTTGAGACTCAATTAACACTATGGTTCACATTTTTGGAAAAAAAATCAATGAAAGGCACAGTAAATATGTCTGTGTGTGGAATCTGCTTAAACTTGGAGTCCTGGGAAGGTTTCACAGAAGAAGTAAAGTTCAACTAAGATCGTAAGGATAAACAGGGATTGGCTAAACAAAATTGAGATGGTAGGAGAAAAAAAAATCAGGCATAGGTGAAGGCTGAAATACAAATAGAAAGAAGAACATCCACACATACACACTCGAAAAACAAAAAGGAATTCAAAGAACCTCTACAAAGAAGATGCATGAGATAGGTTTGTGTGGTATTAAACATTTGTTGATTTCACTGAAGATTTATTAGTTAACAGCCATGAAAAAGACCGTGTGCACATCCTGGAAGTACAGTAGTGATAGATTCTGTCCTCTTGTATTTTATACTTCAGTGTACTATGATAAGCACTATACCAAGGGAACTGAAGAGGAAAGATTCTAACTCAAACCATGAGGCCAATAAACTAGATATGCTGAAGTCAGTACCTGAAGGATGGGGTGAACCAATAAAACAAGAGCAAGGGTGGAAGCAGGGGTTTCCATGGAGAATGGGCTTGAAGGTCAAAGGCTAAAAGAAGGCTCATGGCATACTTTGGAAATCAAAATCAGTCCAAGTATGGAGAGGGATGAAAAGATACCTTTTTTCAATGATTCCGTTTCTTCATTTGTTATTAAAGAGTTGGACCAAGTTTTTCTAGAACATAGATTTCACAATACTATTTTAAATTCCAAACAAATACTAGGTAAAAATTGAGAGGTTGTTAATAAATTTTCAGGCCACAGGGATAAACAATGACAAAGCTCTTTTAGCCTGCAGGTTAAGTGTAAATAAGAGTCAGAAAAATGTGCTTTTGATTGTAAGCAATATTTTCTTCATTTGCAAAAAAGTCAAACACTTCCTTATGTGAGAAGTCAAACTGATTCACTGTAAATGCAAATTTTTCTTTAACTTCTACTGAAGCCTTCTCACTTTTGTATCTGGATCAAGCACAGGGTGGTTAATGTCTATAGCATGCTTGTATGATGCTGTGATGATTTGCCAGTTATGTCAAAATAGTAAATTAGTTGTCCTTGTGCAGTAAAAAGGGGCAAGTGGTTGATCTCCTGTCATTTGGCATGTTGTTCTTAATGAAAAAGAAATGTTGGGCCTAGACAACAGATAGAGGGTTGCCCGTGCCTTTAACTGCAGGGAGTTTAGGGAGAGATCCCCATGTCCAATTGCTCAGAAAGATGACAACCTACATGAACTCAACCAAATAATTCACAATACTCAAAATAACTTCATGTTTAATGAAATAAATTCACATAAAACACCTAATTACTGTGTCATCCAGTCTTATTATGAAATAGATTTTAATCAAAATATGAAAATATTGCTACAAACTATTCTCTACTTGAGAGATAAAGGGTTGGAAATCACTGAGGAGTCCCCAGTACTTGACATGAAGAAATCAAAACAAGAGAACCCAGAGTTATATCACACTTGACATTACAGATTGCCCCCTGAGGGTAACATACTAATAAACAGCTACTGCTTAAAATGTCAACCAAAGCCTAAGAACTATTAAATGTTTAAACACTGGCTGTTTGTTCAGATATTAAATAGAACACCTTCTTTAACCTTACAGCTACCTTTGAAGTAAGAAAATCTTGTCATCACTCTTCCTATGCTAATGAGACATTCATAAAAACAAGAAAATATAGAAGGAATGAAAGATTAAGCCTCTTAAATATAGAAATGGGGTAAGCCGAGGATATTCATGAACAGAATGGCTATATTTGAAAACAACAATTAATCAGGATTTTAGAAACTGCTGACCAAACTGGATATAGTGTACCAGAGAAACCTGAACACCAGAGGTTTGGGAAAATTATAATGAACACCAGTACCTTTTAACAGTGTGCAGTAGACTTTGGAACCTACTGTTGAGGACAGTAAATAAGAATTAAAGGGTTTCTAGCTCTATTTAAGTGTTATTGGAAAAATGTACAGTATGTCTGATTGAAATCATTGCCACGTCTTCTCTCACCACAAGCCAGAAGATCTTGGACATACATTTTATGATCTCCTGAACAATGCCTTAATTTCTGTTGGGCATTGTTTTGGTCCCAATATTCCTTGGCTGTTCATCATATTTCATGGAATGCTCAGTCAATTCACATTGGCCATTATATAGAGAAATAGTCTCAGTTTATTATCATACTTTTATTGAGCAAATCCATACTTTCATTGAGCAAATGCCATTTTGCCATATTCTGTTCTCCATGGGCTTTATACAACTATGTAAATTTAGAAAGTAATCCTATGTTTGCCATCAGATGTTATGGTGCTATTGATATGCCTATTCAAAAGTGATTAATCTGAAACACAAATGTGTGAACTAGCTTTCCCAAAGTGTTACAGCAACTCAGTGACACATTCTGCATTTAAACCCTGGCAGTCTGTCTCCAGAGCCTGGGCCTATCCAGCATGATTCTGTCATTGCTGTGGACCAAATGGAGGAGGCAGCAGAGAAACAATTAGCAGTATCTTTTCATTTGCCAGCCCGGCAATCCTCACCAATTTGGTCTTTGGATCCTGTTCTGTCTTACATTTTGCTATTAGAATAAAGGAAAGGCAAGATGGTTGAATGGAAAAGGATGGAGAATTTTAATTTAAATCCCCAGGATTTTACTTGCATAGTTTAGCACAAGTTGGTACCTTCTATCTGCTTCCTGAAAGATCAGAACCCTCTAGGCAAAGGTCTAGACAGGCTGCTTGGGGTTCACAGCTGCTCCTTGCTCTGTAAATAGCTAACTGAATATATAAACAAATGGGGCACCTAAAGGGGGAGCACTCTGGAACTGTGCGCTCAGAAAGAAAGTGCCAATGCTTTTAAACAGTTAAGTGAGAAGTGAGGGCTAGGAAGAGCTCTTCACTGAGCAGCAATCTGTTTAACTCTCTAAGAAATGAGTGCCTGCTGTGTTTGTTTTCTAAGCAGGACATTCGAACAATATTTTGCATGCCATATAGAGGTGACCAACAAGATAACAGGCATTTGTAGGTATTCACACAGATGTAGGCATGCTGTGCCTGCCTAATTTTAGAGGTACTTTCTTGGCAACAGCACACACACACGCATTCTCCCTCTCTCTCTCTCTCTCTCTCTCTCTCTCTCTCTCTCTCTCTCTCTCTCTTCCTTTCTTTCTTTTTTTTTGTACAGGGGATTGAACTTGGGACTTTGTGTTTGAGAGGCAGCCAGTGGAACCCCCGAGCTAAATCCCTGGCCCCAAGAATTGTTGGGATTTTGCAAGTGACTGAACGTGAGAGATAAGAGAGATGGAGCCAGGTATGACTCCTGAATTTCTAGACCAGGTGGCTAGGTCAATGATGATGTACCTGATACAGAAATCCCTGAAGGAGAGATGACGTGACAGTTGTATTTTCTGTTGATCTTATCTTGTAGTTATGGGCAAATGATAAATAAAATGACTTTGCCTCCCAATATATTAAGATCTGGGTGCTTATTTTTCTCTTTTCTGTTTTTAATTGCAGCAGAATCTAAGAAGAAGAAAAAGGAAGGCAAGAAGCAGGAGAAGATGCTGGATTAAAAAATGCCACCTTTTTGGGAACGTGACTAGGACATCAGCAAACAGGATCAGTTAACTATTGCATTTATACCTACCGTAGGCTTTTATTCAAAATCATGTATAGCTTAAGTACACAATAGGCAAAAACAAAGAGGAAAGAAAATTTTTGTAGTAGCATTTAAAAAAATGTATACCATAGTACCACTAGGGGCTTGTAATAAAGAACTGTAATCCTATTTAGAAAGTTGAAGTTGACTTGTAGTACATGATAAATGATAGACAATGGAGGTAAGTTTTTTTTGAAGTTATACAATATTTCACATTTAAATTCTTTTTTACGTTTTTTCTTTGGGCAGCAATTTAAATGTTGTGACCATGTAAACTACTTCTCTTGTTATGTTTTTTCATCACCTAGATTTTTTTCCAATTGAGAAAAATACATACTAAATGAAGCAGCAATAAAATATAATAACTCTGTTTGAGGGAAATATCTTGTCTTCTGCTGAGAGTGTTTTAAAAATAGTCATCCAAATAAATGCAGAAAAGCGGCAGAGCAACGTTGTAATACAGAGTTGACTTTTTTAAAAAAGAAAATCATTAAAACATGAAATTCATTTTAGCAGAAACATCTATTATCTTGATGAAATTATTTTTCCATCTGAGAAAAAAAATACTAGGAAAAATAAATCAAGGTGATGCTGAATAAAAGGTGCTTTTGTGTGCAATAGTTTGATCTTGTAACTCTCTTCCTTTTGTCACCTCTGCGTCCTGATTCATTCAGTTAGTGGTGAGAATTTACCATACAAATGAATTAAATTTCTTTTGGACATAGATCTTACTTAGACAAGAGTTTTTGTTTTATTTTGTTTTGATTTGAGTACTTGCTACAAGTTAATTGTTCCCTAATTATAAAAGTCCCAAATATGAAATGATCCAAAACCTGAAAAAATATTAGCCATTATCATAACAACACAAGCGGGAAAATTCTGCTTCTGATCTCACATGACAAGTTGCAGGGAATAAAAACATTGTATGTAGTTAATTTAAGTCTATATGGATAATTTGTATGTGAAGCAAACATGCTTAGTGTTGATTTGGGGATTATCCTCCATATATCTCATTAGGCATACTCAAATATTCGAAAAAATCTGAAAGTATTCCAAATCTGAAACATTTCTCTTACCAAACATTTCACATAGGAGCTAATCAATCTGAGTCAGAATTCAGTAGATTTTACTGGTGCTTTTGAATTTAGCTGAAGTCTCAAAGTAGTCTTGATGGAACAGAAAAATGCTCTTCTTACACTGAACGAGTTTGGGCTAGCATAATACAAATTAGGGTCCAAGTAACACAATGCAAAGTGGTAGTTTGGACCTCTTATCTATGAACCAAGAATTTCTGTTGTACCACTGGTTCCAAAGACTATTCATATAAATGTTTCATCTGCTAGTTTTTCAGCATAGTCTAAGTAAGTAAGTCTATTGAGGTGGTAAAACTTCTATTATTCAAATAATTGAACTCTCAGAATGTTGGCTGAGGTAAATTTCAAAGTATTCTCTGGACATACCCACCTCTAGGTCTAAGGTTATAAGACTAAGTAAATAAATTCTTCTCTACCAAGAAAAAAATCACAAGTCTATTTTCAGAAATGATAGTTTCCATACATCCCAGGCTAGCTATAAAATAATTACATATGATCTAAGGATGGAGCCAAAAAGTCAAGGAAGCTAAACTCCTTTGGCCATTTGGTCTAAGACCCACTTGGGATGAAATATTGATAAGTTTCATTGCTCCTGCTAAGTCAGAGCCACCCGCCTGTGACAATAACAAAAGGAATGAATGTACAGCCATCTTATGGACTGATGCTTAATAAAAACAAAGTATTTGGCAAAGTGAAGATGAATAGGAAATATTAGAAAAATGAATAGTAAATATAGTCCTTTTACAAGATGATCTTAATAGGAAAAATTACTCATTGGCTTGGATGGAAAACATAAAAGAAAAGCAGTAAATGAAGTGGACTTTTTGACAGTAAATTTCCAAATGGACAGAAGAGTGGACAGATTCTGTTAGACTTTCAACTACTATTGCTGTTCTCTCATCATTTAGCCCCAAACAACAGTCCATAAATCAGTAATGAGTTAAGGTGAACTAGAAAAAAAATATCCCCCGAGGAAAAGACAGTCCTGTAAATAACCATAACCATGTCATACTCCTTTATTCACAGGATGTGGTAGGAAGCCAAAAAGGCAAGGTTTCTCTGCTATGTCAATTATGATTCTTAGCAAACTGTAACAACTCCTTGATTCTCCATTTGAACAAGTTAAGAATACTAATCTCTCTCCCCTAAATTCATTTTCCCAGGAGTCTTGAAAATTATTCTTTCCTAGTCTCAGTTTTGAACATCTTGTTAAATCACATCGAAGCATTGAAACATAAATATAAAAGAACTATCTCCTCCTCAGTGTTAGAATCACTGATTCTCACAAATAGAAAAAAAAAATCAGACTATTATCAGCATGGCATAGAGTCTCAAATGTTCTGAGTTTTAGGATTGCTACCCAAAATTTCAGTAGGACTGGAAGGAAAATATGACAAAATCATCTGGATTTTTTCAAACAGATGTGGAGTGAAGGCAAGCTTTCCATCCAATAAGAAGGATACAAAGCAGCCTCCCCAAACCTTTAGTAAAAGCAACCATCCAGTTAACAGCAAGTATCCTTGCTCAGCTCAGCATTTGCATTCCTCACACTTTCCCTTAGCTGTACCCTCAGGTGTGAACAGGTTATGAAGCAGAGGGTCTTGAATAAACCCACTGTGACTCCATACTCTTCTGAAATGACATTGTCACCTGCTACTAACTCTTGGAGTGTTACACCAATTGAGTTTCGTGCTCTGAATATTTATCAAAGGAAGTTCTACAAATTTGGGTGTGTGAGAATGCATGAGCATAAAATATTCAAGAACTTCATTTTACATTAAGCATTTTATTAAATGGAAAACTCACCATCTTTTTTCTATCAAAGAGGCAGATATTTCTTTAGGAATAGGATAAATTTTTCTATACCATTGAACTATAGGGTCCATAGTTCTTAAAATCTTTAATTGCTTTGTTACATATTTAAATGAAGAACAAAGGTGAACGTGTCTTAAAAACCTCTGAAGGAGGGAGTAAAAAGTATTGTCTTTGGTAAATTGAATCATTAAAAGTAATTCCCAAGAGTAAAAATTTGACCTATATCTACTTAGTCATGAAGTTTTCTGATGCAAAGAAAAGGGGATTTCTTTGACATTTCTCCTATTCATCTTTTCCAAAAGTAATAAAAATCATATGTTTAAAAAATTTATGGAGTTTTGGCATACTCATGTAAGAATAAGCAGGCCTAGTACAATACTAAGCATCCAGGAATAATGCCTACTTTAAACTTTGGTGATTGTAAACCTTCTATAAATAAAAGATGTGGAGCACTATAACAGAGACATATATATCCTTAGATATTACCCCTTCCTCTGCTTTTCTGTATTTCACAATCCTTCACTCTTCTAGGCAAATGCTCCATCCTATTGGAATCACAAGGAAATCTGTAATTCAAGAATATTACAACACAAATGAAAGCAGAATGCGATCTAGTTTTAAAATTATTATTGCAGAGAAGGAACCATTCACTTATGGTATCTAATTTCTGTAAAGTGATTTTTTAAAGTACAAAATCTTAACAGGCAGAGGTTGATCTATTTCTTACACATATATCTGTTACAACTTCTGCAATTAGATACTTGTAGAGTTACCAAGGAGGTTATACATCTAGATTATTTCAACGCATTTGCCTTTGTTCTTTGGAAATGGGCATGAAAGTTATACCTTATTAGAAAATGAAAACATGGAAAATTCTGACATCATATCCTTAAACTCCTGGGAGTGAAGAATGCCTTAGAGAACGTACAGATATAGACGGATTGCTTCTGCACTTCAACTTGTTCTCAGTGGAGATAAAAATATTACATAGAGCAAACTAATCACAGAGTGATTTTTTTCTCCTGCTATCTCTTGATTGTCAGATCCATCAAACATAGGATAAAGCTTAAAATATCTAAATTTATGAATGCCTGGGAGAATTATGTGAATGTCACACTTATTAAGAATGACCAAGAGATTGAGATACTTACAGTGAGATGAATTTTACACTTCTAAATCCCAAAGTTGTATGTTTTTAAGGCAGTTATTTTTGCCTGATAATTTTTCTAAAGAAAATTTGGTATCTCACTACTTTTTAGAATAATATGGTAAATGTAATTTAAGCTTCTCTTGGAGGAATATTTGTCTCACCATTAACATTAGGTTATTATCTTTTGCTGTCATACTAGGTCTATCTGCAAATTCTTCTTAAGTGTTGCTGATGGGTCACAGGACTAGTGGATGCTGTGCCAGAGTATAACCTGGAACTTGATTTAAGGTGAAAAAGAGCTTACAAAGATCCCCAAATAATGTAGCTCCTTTAACATTTTGACTCTTATTTATTATTTATTTGTGGTACCAAGGATCAAACTCGGGACCTTGAGATATTTTGTCTCCTAATGGAGATGGAACGAAGCACGTGCTACTTACCCCCTGAGCCGTACGATGATGTAACATGGTGGTAGTCCAGTGGAATTGTACAACTAAATCTCACGATTAGCTACATGATGGTTAAAGCCTTTTTCTTGCCTTTTAGAAAAACATAATCTTTACTGTTCTTATCCTTGGACTTGTCAGCTATATTCAAAGCATTACCTGTGATTTCTATGTCAGTAACCATCACTATAGTCTTTTTCTTTCTTTTTTTTTTTTCTTTTTTCTTTTTTTTTTTTTTTTTTTTCTTTTTTTTTTTTTTTACTGGGGATTGAACTCAGGACCTTTGCTTGCAAGGCCGGTTAGGGCATGCTTTTTTAGTCTCAATTGTATTTCATGTGTCAATTTTGTTGACAGGGCACTAGTGAACACAGATCTCTTGAGAATATATAAACATTAGTAATCATTGTAATAATCATTTCCAATGGAAAAAAATGCCATAGTGAAACATTTATAATGCCATGACAGTGAAAATATGATTTGTTAGTGTAAAGTCCATATGTACCTTAAAAAATGAAGGAAGTTTCTTATAAAAACATTTTTGTAATTATATACTGTAATGGGAGAACACCTTAGTGAAAGGCTAGAGTCACTATAACATTACAACACTGAAAGTAGGAGAAAAGTAAAACTACTAATAGGCCCTGAATAATTCTTCTCATTTACTAATTGTTTTAATTATGTAATAGCATTTGATTGAATTATAATTATCTGTACAATGCTATATCAATTACTCTGGAAGAAAAGAAATAAAAGCTAGAATTCATGGCCCTCACCTCATTCATTTGTAGATTCTAAATATACAAAGGGTTTTAAAGTTAGAAGTAAATGATTTAATAGAATTATAATGTTTGTAATGGTAAGTGTAGGTACAGACTAGAAATTTCAAGCAAACCACTGGGCTGGCTGGAGAAATTAGAGGATTACAGAGGAAAGAATTAAGGGTAAGTGTGTTTCTTTAAGGATGAACTGTGTTTGGAGGAAATGTAAGGGGACTCTGAAGGCAAAGTCATGAAACATGTAATTTGAGTCATTTGTAGGAAAATGGTTGCACCCTGAGACCAGAATTCTGGATGAAATAAATTAAACACAGAAGGTTAAATATCTCATGGT